AAAAAAAGCACAGTGACAAGGTTAAATATCTTTGAATAATTCATGATGCATTTTTTTAGAAGCCTGAGGGATGAAACAAGAGTTAAATTCAACAAGAAAAAGAATAAAACAAAGGAGATTTAAGCCACTTTTGCTTGTGGATAAAACATTTTGCACAAAATAACAAGATGTTCAAGAGATAACGATTTTGGGTTTTCAAAATACATTTTTTTTAAATGCTTTAAGGATAAAACTGGATCACATTAGTTGAGTTAAAAATATAAGAACTTAAATCAACCCTAAATGTAGTGGCTATACTACAATCACAAAAAAAGGGCAGCTGTTTCTTCAACAAGACCACAAAATGGGCAAGTTTCATCATTATCAAGATACTTACAGATAGATGAATTAAACCTGTCACTCATATCTTTTAAGATGTTGCGCTTGTTATAACGTCGTAGGTCATATGATAATGCCAACATAGCGGATGATATCCGAATCGCATTCACACTCAACGCATTCAGGCTGTACTTCAGGCTGTACACTCTCATAGCGCTCGGTAAGTAAGTACTTAAAGAAATTAAGTGCTTATAACTTAGAAAGTATGCGGTTTCGAACGCAGCCCGACAACATCTCGTTTTGACATCTCGCGTGGTTCTGTGTGATTTGGACAACTTCAAGTTACGCGCCTGTCTTGCAGTCCGCAGACAGACCCTTCTCAGCAGTTGGGGGTTCAGTGTCTTGCTCAAGGGTCTCCCCTCAGTAGTGGTATTGAGGGTGGAAGAGAGCGCTGGTTATTCACGGTCTGTGTAATGCTTCCCAATTTAATTTTCAGACCATTTGGTGCAAATGCAAAAATAAAAAAAATGAAACCAAACGTTCATTTAAAAAAAATAATAATAATAATTCAGTTACTTCATAAATGAATAACTGCCATTTTCTCTCCTTTTTTCAATTTTACTCTTACTAAGTTGTGTCTTCATAAATTAATAAATGAAAGCTAAATGATTTTCTATTTTTACCCTTTTTTACCCATCATCTCCATGATGGTGGCATCATTTTAACCAATAAAACATCAGTATCTGATCCTCTGTAATTCTCAATAACAGCAGGTGTTCATCACTAATGCACAATCATCATTTAATTAGTCACTTAATTATCTCATTAACTTTAACTCTTTGAGGACTTGGAATATGACTCGAGACTCGTTTGTGATTTGAAAGGAATGACGTGGTTCCTCCTCTGGTGAAATCAGCTGCTGAGTTCATGGGTGGAATAAACATATGGCAGGACTTTTACTTTCTGACCCCTGGATTGTCCACCTCTGTCGAAATGCCACTTCAGATGCAGCTTCTGTGTTTCCTCTGCACTGCAAAGATGAATTTTGTCAATACTGATTTAATTTGCTTGGTAACGGCCTAAATTACTTATTATTCTAATTGACTGATTCAAGTTAAGAATCTGACTGAAAAGATGATGCACAATTTTAGAAAAAATGGCTTTATAAGGGTAAAAATGCCCATTAAAGATAAAAATCAATTTAAACTTAAAATTCATTTCTATCACTGCTGTGAACTGATCACCACAGAATATGCAGAATATTAAAAACTTTATGAGTCAGCTGTCCACGGTAGTCCTTATCAACCTTATCCTTATCAGATATCAGCACAATAAAAATGTCTGTGCAGGTCCCTGCCCACAACCTTCGGGTTACAAGTCCGACTCTCTAACCATCAGGCCATGACTGCCCTTTATGTGATAAAGATTGTTAATGCTTTTAAATCACCAAAAGCAAAACAGAGAAAGAAAAAGAAAGAATGTGCCCTGCCATAAGACCTTTCATTAGTCCGAGAGTTCAGTGATCCTGGACAGAGTATTGCTTTTGACTTGATTATAGCGCCATCTAGAGAACAATCTGATCATGTGCTTCAGTTTGTACATTTTGTGACGCGCCTACATGAATAATTTGCACACCAGTGCGCTTTCGGTCGATTTACAGTTTAAAAAGAAACGCAGTCTTATTTTAGTAGGACTGTAGATCCAGTGCTGATCATCTAAAAATCATTTAAAAGCAAAACAAAAATGTTCAAATAAACTTTTCCGATTTCTGGCAAAATAAAAGTCCTTTGGAAACGCTCCAAAAACATTCTTCCCAATTATCTCCATAATAATATGCTACATAATAACATATTATATAAATGTACATAATTATTTACGACATTTTCAAGTTTGTCTTAAAAAAATTAATAATAATAATAATAATAATAATAATAACCGCGTGTCTTCAGTTAGTTGTCTGTCAGGACTTTTATTTTGGCGGGTCGTGCAGGGACAGCGACCGAACTTCGCCTCTCTTATTATTCAAGCTTCATAACCGAGTGGCCATTTTTTAATGTGCGTCCGGATCCCGGTTCCGCTTATTTCTCTCCTAAAACCGCTTTTAACGCCAAATAATAGCGGGTATCACCGGCAAACGATTCTCGAGCTTTAATAGCCTTCATCGCGGAGAAGAAAACGAGAGATAACTCGGGAGTTTCCGTGCGCTGTCGACATGAATCCTGAATAGTAAGTTTGTGTAGAAAAGCGCTGATGACACATCAAACATTATTGATACATTCAACATTACTGTAGAAGCTAAATAAAATACTGCAGTAAACTAAATATACACTTTATGTATCAGGATACGTTTATTAATAACTATCACAACTATGCTGTGTCTGTTTAACCAGAGCAACCAACCGGGAGTCGTTTCGATTTTATTCAAAAGTTATTATTTGTATGAATATGGATGTTTGTGTACATATGTGTAGCCAAAGAATTTTATATATATATATATATATCATAACTGTCAGTCTGTTTCTGGAGCTTAGACACACTCAAGTGCCACGTCGTAATGAAACTGACCAGTTAAGTATGACACTGTCTGGCTAATTACATATCTTATCGTGTTTATAATTAGATCAAATCATCTTCGGGCTTATTGAACTGCTGTCAGAGAGCTGATCATGTACTGTCATCTCAGGCCTGAACTTACTGACATCCTGGCTGAGTTTAAGTTTAAATCACCTGTTACCACACCACCCTGTCAGATTCTGTGGTTTTACCATGGTACAGTCGTGGTAATACCGTGGTATTGGATGACTGCTATATTTAAGTATCATGTGAATCTGTCAAGAACATGCATAGATCATAATTCACATCAAAATCAGAAGAAAAATGTCTTTGTGTCATGATTTTCTCTTTTTTCATGCAGAATTTATTTGTTGTTGTTGTTGATTTTTGGGGTGAAATATGAACCTGAGATCATCATTAACGCCGGCCAGTGAGATGTGACACACACACACACACACACACACACACACACGTGTTACGTAATAATTCCCGCTTCCACGTCACAGAGGAATTACTGGGAGTGTAAGTGATCACTTCTCTGCTTTCTCTTCCAGTGATTACCTGTTCAAGCTCCTGCTGATCGGAGACTCCGGCGTCGGGAAGTCCTGCCTTCTGCTGCGTTTCGCTGTAAGTTATTAGCCTGCCATTAAAACCCAGTTTGCACACACAGGGTTCAGATAATGGCTCTTATTGCGCAGGTGATTTGACTGTCAAAGAGCTTCATGCTAAAGGTGAAGTAATGCTGCAGTCTGACTGAAAACGCTTATTTTTGCAGTGTCTTTATGAAACACGTGCATTAGTAAATGTCTTGTCTATTATCGTGTGTGTGCATTTCCTCAGGACGACACGTATACAGAGAGCTACATCAGCACGATCGGAGTGGACTTCAAAATCAGGACGATAGAGCTGGACGGAAAGACCATCAAACTACAGATCGTGAGTGTGCTGAACTAGCCACACAAGCTTGATTTCATGCACTGCTGCATTTCTAATTGTGTCGGCGTGCAAAAACGCATTGATTACATTGCTTTTCAAACGTTTGGGATCGGTGAGAGTTTCACATGTTTCTCTTATGCTAACCAAGGCTGCATTTATTTGATCAAAAATACAGTAAAATTGTGAAATATTATTACTATTTAAAATGACAGTTTTCTGTCTGAATAGATTTTAAACTGTAATTTATTCCTGTGACGGAAAGCTGAATTTTCAGCATCATTACTGCAGTCTTCAGCGTCACATGATCATCAGAAATCATTCTGATATGCTGCTCAAGAAACATTTCTGATTATTATCAATGTTGAAAACAGTTGTGCTGCTTCATATTTTTGTGGAAACATGTATTTCAGCATTTATTTGAAATGGAAGTCTTTTGTAACATTATAAATGTCTTTACTGTCACTTTTGATTTATCTGATGCGTCCCTGATGAATAGAAGCATTCGTTTCTTTTTAAAAAGGGCATGTTTCTGTGCTTACGGTGTGTGTGTTTGCTGTGTTGTCAGTGGGACACGGCCGGTCAGGAGCGGTTTCGCACCATCACGTCCAGCTACTACAGAGGAGCTCACGGGATCATCGTTGTTTACGATGTCACGGATCAGGTGACCAAACTTTCCTTTAGTAGGGCTCTTTGACACGCTGTGCTGAGCGTGAAGCACTTCTGTGTGTATCAGTGCTGTTTTAATGCTGATGAGTTCTGTTCTGGATGTGTTTCTTCAGGAGTCCTTCAACAACGTCAAACAGTGGCTTCAGGAGATCGATCGCTACGCTAGTGAAAACGTCAACAAACTCCTGGTGGGAAACAAGTGTGATCTGACCACTAAGAAAGTTGTGGTTTACACGGCAGCGAAGGTACAAGATCTGTCCCATGAACAGAGCACTACATTCACCAAAGTCCTAACACTGTACAGATGATTAATATTTTAAATAATTAAACATTCATTAAATTATGATTTATTGTTAATTGTAAAATAATAAATCACAATTAATAATTTATAAGTTATTTATTAAAAAAAAAAACTTTTCTGATTGCAAACTGAGAGAGGAGATGATTAATTATTTACATTTATTATTTTTTTAAATATCAAAAACTGGTTGATTGAATGCTATTATTATTAATTAATGAATGATGAATAATTTATAAATAATGGTTTAAAACCTTTCCTGGTTGAGACTCCAAAGACTGGCTGATTAATAATTTAAATTGTTACTTGTAATCATGTATTTAAAAAAAAACTTTTCTGATTGCAAACTGTGAGAGTATCTGATTAATTATTTACATTTATTATTTTTTTAAATAATAAATAATTATAATAGTGTATGGTTGCAACCAAAATAATTAACAACCCAATAATTAAGTTATTTAAATTATTATTTATTATTAAACAATAACTAAATAAACAACTACACAATTTATCATTTGTAAAAAAACTTTTTTTTTAAATACTATTTATAAGCCTTTTATTGGTTTCAACCAAAATTGTTTTATCTTTATTAATTGTGAAATAATGAATAAATGGGTATATAAAAAAAAAAAGAAAAAAAAAAGAAAATTTTTAATAATTTAAAATAAAAACGTTTAAAACAAAAAAAAACTTAAACTATTATACATCCTTTCTGTTAATTCTACATTAATTTCAACTTGTAAATATATTAATGTGTATGATTAGTACTAACATTTGGTGTGATTAATCACAGAAAATTGTTTAACATTTATTAATTACATTTTTTTTTTATCAGCCCTAAATATATTTAAAATCTTATTTATAAAGTGTAATATCAACAGTTTTTTAAAATATGACCAATTATTCTTTTTTTGATTCCTTAGCTAAAATGACCACACGTTCACTCTCATTGAGATCAGTCTGTTGTTCTCTGTCTTTCAGGAGTTTGCGGACTCTCTTGGCATCCCGTTCCTGGAGACGAGCGCGAAGAGCTCCACTAATGTGGAACAGGCCTTCATGACCATGGCGGCTGAGATCAAGAAGAGAATGGGCCCCGGGGCCACTGCGGGAGGCTCCGAGAAATCCAACGTCAAGATTCAGAGCACGCCGGTCAAGACGTCCTCCGGAGGATGCTGCTGAGACTGACCGACCTACGACAGTAACGTTACCAACCATACGCCACAGCTGAGTTAGCAGGAATTGAGAGTGTGTGTGTGTGTAAGTGAGAGAGAGAGAGTGTGTGTGTGTGTGTGTGTGTGTGTGTGTGTGTGCAATAGAATATTAATGATAAGGAGAGTAAGAGAGGATCAAATTTAACATTGCCTGATATTGAATCATGCATGCACATCGATGCATGACCAGACAAACACATGTCCAACCGTCTGCCGGGTTAAACGGCTCAAATTCCGTACTTTCATTTAGACAAGCATCCAAAAGCACTTTTGGACACCAAAGTCCCGTTTCTGGCATTTTTAGAGGAGCGCAACTAGGTTTGGCTTTGAACTTCCTCTTGGGAACTTTGAAGGAAGCGGTGGACTGTGGGTTCCGTTGCTATGGCTCCCAGTGGGGTTGCTACGGCGACCTCTCCTTCAGCCGCTGCCTTCTCTCTCGTCTGGTGGACCGTTTGCCTGTCTGGCCATTTCTTCTGTTGTTTTTGTTTTTTATTTGTGCTCTGCAGCATTTCAGCGGTCCTCTGAGCATGACCAACACAACACTTACAATGTGCTAGTTGTTTGCCACGTTTCTAACAGCATTATCATCCTGTGCAATTTTTGTGGTGGTATAATTTGGAAAATGAGAACCAAATCTCGGACTGCTTGTAATTTAAAGGGACAGTTCACCCAAAAATGAACATTCTTTCATGATTTACTCACACCCTCCAAACTTGTATGAGTTTCTTTATTCTGTTGAACACAAAAGAAGATATTTTGAGGAATGTTGGTAACCAGGCAGTTGCCGGTAGCCATTGACTTCCATTATATGGGGAAAAAAAATACTATGGAAGTCAATGGCTACCAGCAACTGTTTGGTTACCAACATGCTTCAGAATATCTTGTTTTGTCTTTAGCAGAATAAAAAAACACTTACAGGTTTGTGACAACATGAGGGTGAGCAAATAATGACCGAATTTTCATTTTTGGGTGAATGCCTTTAAATGTCAATATTATTGGTTATTTGCCTTAATTAGTTTTGATGCTTACACGTTATGTATATTATATGGAAGCTTGTTTTCTGCACAGAAAATAAAAATAAAAAGGTCAGTGCAACTTTTTATCTCACAGTTCTGATTTTTTAACTCTTTTTTTTTTTTTTTTTTTTCCTTGTGATTATGAGAAAATTGTGAGAATGTCAGACAAAAACAGAATTGCGAGATACAAACTCACAAATCTGACGAATTGCAAGATTAAATGTAATAATTAACTTTTTAAAAATATTTTTTTATTTTTAATTCCTTGGTGAAAACAAGAAAAAACAGAATTGCGAGAAAAAAGTTGTTGCAACTCAAAAAAAAAATAAAATAAAAAGTGAATTGTGAGATGAAATGTCGCAGTTATCCTTTTTATTTTTTTATTCTGTGGCTGAAGCATGCTTCCATAATATCCTGTGTTTTGGACTCAGCGTGTGTTTACTGACAGCACAACAGCAGTAACAGGAGCTATAGCAGATCATGTATAAATGTATATAAATCCCACAGATAAACAGGAAATGACATCACGATAATTAAAGCAACATTGCTTGTAACTCCTTTGTTTTCAGGGAGAAAATGCTCTTTTTCTCCTGTGTTTTTGTTTTCTTTTACATCACACAATGTTTAAATAAACTATGAAGGAGAAGTTTAATAAAAATGGTTTTAACTGGAGTGTGTGGCAGCATGTTTCATGTGATCCATCTGTGTGAATGAAAGCAGCAGCGGGTTACATAAAGCAGCTCATAACAGATTGCACTCATTGTTTCCAGGGGGTGGCGTCATTAGCCAGAAGCTGGTGTGTTCAGACTGGCTGGAGATCGTGAGTCACTGTTATGTTCACATCATAACTGCTGCTTACACACACTAATGTTCAAAAGACTGGAGGTTTTTTTAAAGAAATTAATACTTTTATAGAGCAAGGATGCTTTAAATTTATCGAAAGTGACAGCAAAGGCCAGTGTTGGGGAAAGTTACTTTTAAAAGTAATGCATTATAATATTGCATGTAGAGGCCTTTTCACACCAAAAGTGAAATTAACAAGCCTCGGGCTGAAGGAAGTGCCTCTGTCTCTGCACCTCACTCACGATTTCTTACTTTTGACAAAACAATGTAACTTGCATTACCTATTTGAAAAATTAACTCCGATATTTATTTGTACATTTAAAAGTAATGCATTGCTTTACTAGTTACTTGAAAAAAAGTCATCTGATTACGTTACTCGCGTTACTTGTAATGCGTTACCCTCAATACTGGTAAAGATTTATAATGTTACAGAAGATTTCTATTTTAAATGAATGTTCTTTTGAACTTTTTATTCATCAAAGAATTCTGAAAAATAAAATGTATCACAGTTTCCACAAAAATATTTGTCAGCACAACGGTTTTCAACACTGATAATAATCAGAAATGTTTCTTGAGCAGTGGATCATCAAATCAGAATGATTTCTGGAGATCATGTGACACTGAAGACTGGAGCAATGATGCTGAAAATACAGCTGCGCATCACAGAAATAAATTACATTTTACAATATTCAGATAGAAAACAGTCATTTTAAATAGTAATATTTCACAATTTCAACTGTATTTTGATCAAATAAATGCTGCTTTGATGAACAGAAGAGACTTCTTTCAGAAACATTTACAAAATCTTATTGACCACAAACTTTTGCATCCAATTATTTTCATGGTCTTTTTCGACAACAAATTACTTCTTGCATAAAATAAAATAATTCAGAAAACTTGCAGGACAATCGTGTAATGAAAGCGACGCCTCGCGCATACATGCCTGAACTGAAGTCTGGCATCTGCACGCTTACACGCTCCTGCAGAAAGAGACAGCTGTCCTGTGGAGGTCAGAGGTCAGGGTCAAGGACAATGCGGGAGCGCGTGCGACTCCTCGCCTTTATTTTGTTTGGGGTTGCTGGGAGACGAAGGGTCGGGGTCAGGTGGGAGGAGCCGAGCGCAGCGGCAGCTGTTAGGAGCAGCAGCGGAGGGGGAAGACGGATGGGTTTGGGATGAACAGAACACAATGTGAGAACGACAGACTGTTTACACACAAACACGGGTAATCTTGTCAAAATGACATTAATTAAACAGTTACATAGAGTTATTGGTGTAATCATCACTTAATTGTGCAGAACTTTCTAGTGTGCTTTCTTACTGGTCCCTGATCTTCAGCTCTCTGGATGTGGCTTCAGTGTAAATCTGGGTTTTGTGTGTGTGTGTGTGTGTGTGAGAGAGAGAGAGACTCAGCTCTCTGCTTCAGTGTAAATCTGGGTTTTGTGTGTGTGTGTGTGTGTGTGAGAGAGAGAGAGAGACGAGAGACA